GGGCCCGTCCTGGGGCGTAAAGTGGTCAAGGTCTCTGGTTCGCCCCCCCCCTGGCTGGGGCCGTATATGGCTCTGATAGGTACGGGTCTCTGACCGCGAGCTTCTTGACCTGAGGCGCATTGCTGTGTCCTGCGTGAAGCCTTCGGCCCAAGGGGGTCTCTTTCGGTTTTGTCTCTTTGGGAGGGGGGCCCCACGTGGAGGGCCAGCTGCGCCTTCATCATTCGGTGGGCCAGGGAGGTCTGGATTTCGCAGACTCGCGCTTTCGATTGGGCCGTGAGTTGGGCCGGGATCAGGACTGGTTGGTATTCGGTTTTCGATCGAGATGACTGGTCTTGGGCTGAAGCGTCGGGGCCGTGTTCTGATTTGCGGATGTCCGTTTCATAGGCTCGGGTGGGCGATGCACACAGTCACCACCATTTTTGACGATTTTGGCCGAGAGATCTCCCTAACATTATTTTCGCCGAGACTCGTTAAGGTGTTCTGCCGTGAGGCCGTTGTTCGGAGCCTCGAGCGTGACTCTGGTGACAAGTTTAAGGCCAGTTTTCGGCTGTGTTGGGGCATCCCCGCAGCTCTTTTAGCATTCAGGAGTATTCCTGGGGATCAGAGAGGAATCATTCGGGCCCTCTAGACCAGCGCCTGCTGGACAGCAGGGGACGCTGCTGACTTAAGGCATTCTCTTTCCGACTTGTGCGCGCTGGGCTGCGGCGCCATTTGGGTGTGCCCGTGCGTGCAGGACGCGACAGACCAGCACGCACCCAAGTGGATACAACAGGCTGCTATGGAGGTTCCTGAATCTGTTCCTCCTTCTCTTGTCCCTGGGGATGGTTACTGGGGGCGCAGTTTCATGGACGGGTCCTGACTTAAGCATCCTGTTAGGGAGTTGTCCAGGGCGGGTTGGGGAGTGGTCAAGGTTTCGGAGTCTGGGGAGCGCCTTGGTGTCGTGGCCTCAGGCCCCCCGAGGCGCCGATATTGGTGCCCTTGCCTGGACTGCCCTGTTTACGTAAGCTTCTGCCGAGCGTCATCACGACTGTGCCACTGATGTGCTGCTTCTGAATCTAGGGCCGCGGAGGCGCTTGGAGCGAAGAGACAGTACGCGGGTTTGGTTCTGCAAGCCCGCCACCATTTCGACCGCCTCTGCACGGGCTTCCACGGAGTGAACGCCTATAAAACATGTAGACTGGGAGGGGCTTTCGGCGGGGAAGAAGTTTCGGAGGTTGGGTAACTCGTGTGCGGATACTGCAACGAGAGAGGCGAGAGGGAACGGAGTTCCATCCTCGCATGAATCCCACAGGCTCGGAGGCTCTGGATCGGATGTGGACTACTGCCCGACACGCTGTTTGGGCGGAGCGGACCTCCTGCCTTCTTTTGACCGAATGTCGAGTTTAGAGGTCTGGAGCGCGTCCGGCCGCCACCCCACGTCCACAAAAGCCTGACAGCCTGGATATAGATCATGATTGAGAACGGTCTGGCTCTGTTCGGAGGTGCCGCTTTGGTTTGTGAGGCTCCAGGGCGATTTTCAAGCCGACAGGGGAACCGGCCATGTTCGGGCCGCAGCAGGCTTGACTAGGGGTGTCCTGCGGCGTCTCGGGCATCGTGTGATCACGTTCCCGTGCTCAGATACGTCTCACTTGCTTCTCTTCATGAAGTGCAAGTTTTATAGCAGTGGTGGCTTGGTTCTTGGCCTTGGGCGTAACTGCGCTCCTCCTACGGCGACTGGCTTAAAGAATTTGCGTAAGTTTCGTATAGGCCTGCATCTTGATACGAAAGGTGCTTTGTCGATGTCGACGAATTCAGCCCACTGCTATGATTACAGGTTCAGTGCTGCTCCAGTTGAGTGCTGCTCCAGTTGTGCCGCTGGGCTGGTGTTCGCATAACAATTACAGGGGCCGTGGGGCCGTGCCGTCACTGCCAATAAAGAGGAGGAGAAGGAGGAGGAGGAGAAGGAGGAGGAGGAGGAGGAGGAGGAGGGAAAAGGGAGGAGTGAGGATGGAGGATGGAGGACGGAGGATGGAGGACGGAGGAGGGGGGGGGGGGGAGGAGGGAGGATGGAGGATGGAGAAGGGAGGAGGGAGGAGGGAGGAGGGGGGGGGAGGAGGGGGGAGGAGGAGGAGGAAATGGAGGAGGAGGAGGAGGACGAGGTGGAGCAGGAGCAGGAGGAGGAGGAGGAGGAAGAGGAGGAGGAGGAGGTACAGGAGAAGGGGAGGAGGGAGGAGGAGGAGGAGGAGGGAGGAGGAGGAGGTACAGGAGAAGGGGGAGGAGGAGGAGGAGGAGGAGGAGGAGGAGGAGGAGGAGGAGGAGGAGGAGGAGGAGGGCTACTACTGCTACTACTACTACTAATACTACTACTACTACTACTGCTACTACTACTACTACTGCTGCTACTAATAGTAGTAGTACTACTACTACTACTACTACTACTACTACTACTACTACTACTACTAATGTTAGTCGCACTAATTCTACTACGATGAATGCTACTACTAGTGCTCATACCACTATCAATACTAGCACACTAAGAATGATACACCTCTTACTCGCACTAATAAGATTACTATCAATCGTACTGGTAGCACTACTGACACCACTTGTAGTAATTGTAGTGGTAACGATACTGGTACGGAATGTATAGTCATAACCCTAATCACGCTCATAAGGTTCATACTGCGATGACTCATACCAATACTATTAATCAGGCTGCTATTGCGAAACTTTCCACGAACACGTATACTACTGATTGTAATCGTATTCGGGAGAAGAGCAAGACTAATAGACATAATAAGAACCATGCGACTAATACGCATATTATTATTCGTAGTAATATGATTATTATAACTCGTAGCGCTAATAGTACGAGTACTAATATTCGTGACATTAATCACAACATTACTATAACATGTGTTAATAGTACTATTGTAACCAATGCTGCTACTATTAATACGAGTTGCCATACGAATCATTGTATTAACGATAATATTAGTACTACCGATATTATGAATAGTAAACATCAAAAGGAGACGAGGAGGAGGAGAAGGAGGAGCAGGAGGAGCAAGAGGAGGAGGAGGAGGAGGAGGAGGAGGAGGAGGAGGAGGCGGAGGAGGAGGGAGGATTATCAGGAGGAGTAGGAGGAGGAGGAGGAGGAGGAGGAAGAGGAGGAGGAAGAGTATAGGCAGCCATGCCACATGCCTTGAGACTCCGATTCCGATTCCGACTCCGAGGAGGAGGAGGACGAGGGGGAACGCTTTGGAGCGTCTAGACGAGCACGGCGTGCCAGAGGCAGACAGAGACGGTGTGGTATCGAGCCCAGTATCCTGTGCCCATAACCCCGCAGGGGGCACGGCCACCGCTTGCTGGACGAGGAGCACGAGGAGGAGGAGGAGGAGGAGGAGGAGGAGGAGGAGGAGGAGGAGATGGAGGAGATGGAGGAGACTACAGAGCCCCCCATCAACGTGTCCGCCCTGCTCCACCACTCATCTTCCTCCTCACCTCTCTCCTGTGATGAGAAGGAGGCTCGCACTACGACACGGACGTGGTGTGCTCGCGAGATGATGTGATATTGTATCTCTGTTGTTTCTTTGCCGTCGCCCTTTCAATCACGCGCCCCAGCGTTGTGCGCTGGTGTGTGTGTGTGTGTGTGTGCGTGTCTGACATATCCTCTTGTCTGTAGCTCAGCCCGGCTGGAGCACCAGCCTCAAGCTTGTGATTGTGAGTTCGGCTCCCGCCCCCTCCCTCCCTCAGCGAGGTGCCGCCCTCCCCTCCTCCCCCGACCCACCCGGCCGCCCCGCCTCTCCTCCGCGAGACCTCCTCGCGCCATGCCGAGCCCGCCCCCCGAAGCCGTGCGCGGGCCCTCGCGCTCGAAACGCTCCTCCGTGGCGTCTCCCTTCCCTTCCCTCGGGGGAGGGGGCGCCTCGCCGCCATTCGGAGGGCGGGGCCTGAGGGAGGCAATTCGGCATGCTGCGCCCATGCATTCTTCGATCTGATATTCTTGTTTCAGAAGAGTTGTCGACACGCTTTTGGCGCGTCGTGGCCTCCTCGTTTGGAGTTGGCTGTTGTTGACGGGAGATTTCTTCCCCAGCGCCAGTGAACGGACTCCCTGGATGGGGTCCCGGCAAGCCGCCGGTTCCGAGCGCGGCCTTGCCGGGAGGAGGATCCGCGAGGCCTCAGCCCGTGCTGGAGGGCCGCAGGGGCGCTGGAGGCGTGGGGGCTTCCAGGAGGTGGGCGCGCGCGGACCGAGCGGGTCCGCCCGCCCTCCCCTCGCTCTTCCACCCGCCAGGGCTCCGCGAGGGCGCAGCGGCCTGAGTGGAGGGGGGGCCGGCCGCTTGCGAGCCCGAGCTCCCGCGGGGGTCCGCTCGGCGCTGGGGTGCTGGGGCTTCCCTGGCGTCATGGGCTGGCAACCAGCACCCATACCCTTTTTTCGAACCCCAGAGTTCTCGGGGTGGCAGTGCCTCAGAAGTCTCATCGGGGCGGCAGGCTGCTCCCGATAGAGGCATCCGTTGGGGAGATGGGGGGGCGTCGGAGGACGTCAACAGTGCACCGCGCCGATCCTGGCCAGACCAGCTTTGAGCTTGGGAGCGGAGTATGTGCCCTCCTGGCGAGGCCAGCAGGGAGTCATCCCTGATCCGGGGCCCTGGATGGGTCCGGCCATGACCGGCGCAGTGCATCAGGAGGCTCAGTCTGTTTTTTCAAGGCTGCGTGTGCTCAAGCATCGGGTTCGAGATGCGTGTTTTGTTGTTTGTTGTTGTCGTCGAAAGCTTGCGCGTGCAGGAGCGAGTAGTGTTACCATCCTTGTCCCTGCGGTGGGCGGTGGGCTTCAGGAAGCAGTAGCCAAACCAGGTGCCGCAAGAGGGGGGAAGCTGCCATTGTGAGTGAAAACGGCAGAGCAGATACCACCCCAGGAAGCTCCCGCCGTGTGGCCCCGCCCCCGTTTCCAAGGCATGGGCCTGCTCCGGCTCGCTCCGCGCCGCCCAGGCGTGCAGTCGGCGCACCCCGCCAGGGCGCCCCCCCGCGCTCCCGAGGAGATGCCGACCGCCGTGAGCGGCGGCGAGTCCCGGAAGCTGGACCGCAAGAAGATGGCGAAGATGTACGACCTCGCCTCGCTGCTGGCGGCCCAGGCCCGCGGCGAGCCCCACGGGTGGGGGGGCGGGGAGCCCCTGCCCGCCGGGGTGCGGGCGGCCGCCTGGCCCGAAGCTGCACGCTCTGCGGAGGAGTCGTGCTCTCGCCTCGGTGCCCGCTCCTCTTACCAGTTTGAAGCATATCCCTATCCCTATGTTTGACGTCACCTCACCTCGATGCCGATCTTAAGGGTTCCCTCAGTTCTTGAGGGCCTATCCCTAAGATTGTCCTCGCTTTTGGCTCGCCCATCTCAGGGGTGGGGATACGTTCGAGGCTGGTTGCCCTCTGCCGGTCCGGGCGGCCACGATCCCTGGAGCAAGAGCATCGGCTGAGGGCCCACGGCCGCGCTCCCGCCCGACCCTGGGCCGACCCTTTCCGGGCGGGACGAAAGGGGCCCATTCCTCGAGACATAGTCGCCTCCGGCGCCGGGTGGCGCCGGGAAAATCAGCTACGTGAGCTGATTCTCCCCCCCCCCCCTTGCTATCCCCCCCTTTCGCCCGACCCGACCTTTGCTCCCCTATCCGCCTCTTCACCTCTGCTGCCATTCGGGTGCCCTGTTGGGGTGATTTTAGGACAAGAGCAGGAACCTCCATCTCCCTCTCCCCCTGCATGCCACTGTGTTCCCATGGGCCAGCGGGCCCCTGTCCTGGCGGGCTCTGGGCCTCGAGAGGCGTTCAGGGTGGCCCCGCTCGCCGTACCAAGGCCCCAGGGGTCTCTCCTGGACCCTGGGCTGGCATAGGGGGGTGCTGGCCGAAACTACGCTCAATTGAACTCACATGGGGGGCGCCGCGGTTGGCGTTGTGGGGGGCCGCGCCGACCTTGGCCAGATCTGGGGCCTCGTAGGGGCCCCCCCTTCTCCTGCTCCCCGCCCGTGCCCCTCCGAACAGCGCCGACGTCGAGAGCTCCTCCGCGCACGCATGCCCTCCCGGTCTCGACCGGGAGGCCTGTGCACAACCCCGGGGGGGCTGCAGGGCGGCCCGGGCCAGGCGCGGCGGTGCTGGTGGTGCATGGCCGCCCCCTGCGAGGGGGGGGCCGGGTGCTGGTCGGACCATCCAGCCCGAGGCGTCGTGCCGCCTCGAGGTCGCCTCGGTGGGCCCGAGTGCCCCGCCCCCCCCCCTGGAGAGCCTCTGTTGGCGCCAGGCCACCAGCCCCTCTGGGGCCTCCGCGCCCGCCTCGAGATGGGCCCAACTTCGGTGGCGGATGGGGGGCCAGCCGCCGCGAGAGCGGGCGAGCTCGGGGCCCCAGGAGCCAGGGGATCTTGGCAGACCAGGGCTCTGCCAGAGCCAGCGGGAGAAGCCGAAAAGCGGAGAGTGCTCCGAGCCCTCTCCCTCCCTCCCTCCCTCCCTTCCCCCCTCGGGCCTGGGGATGTGGTGGGTGATCTCTACCGCAGGCGCCTCCGTGGCGAGCGTACTCTCGCCTCGGCGTAGGCGCGGGAGGGCCGAGAGCTGCAGCATGCTCCAGCTGACCCCTCCTCCTCCCTCCTCCTCCTCCTCCTCCTCCTCCTCCTCCTCCTCCTCCTCCATCCCTGCTCGGACCCACGGGCCGCAGCTTCCCTCGTGCGCGCCACGTGCCCTGGCTCGTCGGGGTCCCCGCTGACGGGGCGCCCTCTCGCAGCGAGGCGGCGGTCCGGGGGCACCCGGCGGTCGGCGGGGGTCCACCGCCAGGCCCCTGCGGGACAGCTGTCGGCCCCAGGTGTTGGCCCACGTTCAGGAGGGGAAGAAACACACAGACACAATTAATCGTCGATTCCCCAGAACATACGGGAAAATATGGGAAGTGGGGGGGACGACAGAAACCCAGGAAATATGGGAAAATATGGGGAATCCTGTTATTTGTGTGTATTTATTTGTGTGTCCCAGGGCCCCTTCACACGTGGCGTTCCAGTCTGGCTGGGAGCCGATGTCCACTGATGCCTCAGCCCACGCTGGGCCCGAGGAGGCTTCTGGCGGTGGTGGCATGCGTCGAGGGAAAAAAATCACACTGACCATGACCTCTGTGTCGCAGGATCTCGCCGATGCCGATCTTGGTCATGGTCCATGCCGGCCGTCGCCGATGCGCGAGGAGGATCCACGAATCGACGATGACTAAGACTGACGATGACCAAGTTCAACATCGACGTTTCAGCGTTCAACTTTGGTCATGATCATCCTTATCTTTCCCTTCAAGAATTCCCCCTGCCCCGACGGCTGTGCAGCTGCACGGGTCCTGGCAAGGAGGAGGGGGTGCACACCAGGGTCCATTCACCAGCCTGGAACATCTCCCCATCCCTGAGAGTGACATCACCTCACCGCGTTGCCAGCCTCGATGATCCCCTCCGTGGCTAAGGGCACATCCCTAAGATTGCCATCGCCTTGGGGTCAAACTTTCGGTTAGGGGTAAGCTCGAGGCTGGTTATCCATTGCCTCCTCGGCTCCGACCGTGGGTGGCGCGGTGCGGTGTCCTGGCTCCCCGCCAGCAACGCGCAGCCGCTTTCGGCCGAGAGAATAAGCTCGAGGCAGCTTATCCACCGCTTCCTCGGCTCCGACCGTGGGCGGCGCGGTGCGGTGCCCTGGCTCCCCGAGAGCAGCGCGCTCGCTTTTGGCCCAGCGCGCACGCGGAGCTGCTCTCGGTGCCTCCGCGCGCGCCTGGCGAGCGCGATGGGGCGTGGACAGGGGCCCCAGGGCGGCGCCGGCAACCAGGGCGGCGCGCTGGGCAGCAAGTCGGCGAAGCCGCGCAAGCCACGGGCGTCGAAGCGGGCGGTCTGGAGCGGAGACGCCGGAGGCGCCGACGTGGTCCCGGAGCCGGAGGAGCAGGGCCCGCCGCCGGCCTACACCGTCGTGGCGCCCGGGCGGCAGCAGCGGGCCGAGCTGCTGGCGGCTCAGCGGAAGGAGGAGGCGGGCCTGCAGCGGCTCCGTGCCCAGAAGGCCGCCGCCCGTGCGCGCGCCATCGAGGGCTGCACCGCGACGCTCGGCCGCGGCGGAGAGAGCGAAGGGGAGAGCGACGACGAGGAGCCCGCGCCCCCGCAGAGTGCAGAGGAGCTGCGCGCCGCGCGGCTGCGGCGGCTGGAGGCCGCGCCCGCGCCCGCGGCGCGCCCCGGCTCCTCCAGTGCCGGCGCGGCCTCCTCGGGCGACGGGCAGGGCGCCTCCTCGGGGTGCCGTGCCAGCACCTCGGGCGGCGGCCCAGGCCCTGCCAGCGGGGCCGCCGCCGCCGCGGCCTCGGCGGCGGCGGGCCGCGCCGCGCAGGCGGGCGCCGAGGCGGGCGCCGCCCGGCGCGCCGTGGAGCTCCTGGGCGCGCTCGCCGCGCGCGCGGCGGCGCCCGAGGCGGAGGCGAGCACTAGGCTGCTGTGCACCGTGCTGCGCAACGCGACCAAGGTCGGAGGCGAGCACCAACTGTGCACCTTCACCGATGCTTACCAGGCAGATCCTGGGCCCAGGATCGGTGCGCATGCCTTTCTGCCAAGGCCGGGAGGGCACACACAGACACACACACAGAGACACACTGACAGACACACAGACAGACACAGGCACAGGCACAGACACAGACACAGGCACAGGCACAGACACAGACCCACGCACCGCCCACCACACACACACACCGCACACCACACACCACACACCACACACCACACACCACACAGCACACCACACCACACACCACACACCAAACACCACACACCACACACACACACACACCACACACACACACACCACACACACCGCACACACACACACCACACACACTACACGCCGAACCCACCACACACCACACACACATCACATACACACCACACACACCACACTTTTTTACGTCAGCGACGGGGCAGAAGTGGTATGCCAGCTGGCGGCGATCGGGGCGACCGATACGCGAATTGGCCGGCGTGCGGCCAGCAGCGGCAGCGGGGCCGTGGCAGCAGCCAGGCCGCGGCTTCGGTGCACCCACGGGCGCTGCGGGTGCTCAGTACGAGGTAGAGCAAGTTGTTCAGCAGTACTGGAGCCCGGGTTACGGACTGCCGATTTCAAAATGCTGTGCCCACTAGGTGGCAGGCTGAGAGGGATGCGCCCTCGCGCAGCGTCCGCAGCCAGCGTCACCAGGGGGTGGGCTGCGCGCCAGGAGCGGCAGCAAGCGGCGCGCCACACACCACACACACACACCACACACACATCACAGACACCACACACCGCACACCACACACACCACACACACACTACACAACCCCCCACACACACACCGCACACACACGACACGCACCACATGCACCAGACACACCATACAGATCACACACACACACACCACGCACACCAAGCACACCACACCACACACCACACACCACACACACCACGCGCACCACACACCACACACACCACACACACCACACACAACACACACCCCCCCCCCCCCACAAACAACACACAAACAACACACACCGCACACACCACACACCACACACACACACACACCACGCACCACACGCCACACACCACACACACCACACACTCACCACACCACACAAAGACACTACACCCGCCACACACACTACACGCCGAACACACCACACACACCACACACACCACACACCACACACACCACACACACACCACACGCACCACATACGCCACACACCACACACACCGCACACACCACACACACACCACACACACCACACACACCATACGCACCACACACACACACACCACACCTACACCACACACACCACACGCCACACGCACCACGCACACCACACACGCCACACACCACATATACCATACACACCACACACACCACACGCACCACACAAACCACACACACACCACCCACCACACACACCACACACACACACCGCACACCACACACACACCTTACACACACACCTCACACTCCACACACACCACGCACACACCACACACCACACACCACGCAGCACACACCACACACACCACACGCACCACACACCACACACCACACGCACCACACACACACACACCACACACACATACCACAAACCAACACACACCTGCACCACACACCACACACCAAAGACCACACACACACCACACACACCACACACACCGCACATCACACAGTCCCCACACAAACACCACACACACCACACACAGCACACAGACCAGAAGTACTTCACCCACACCACACACCACACATTCACCACACACACACCACACACACCACGCACACCACACACACCACACCTACACCAGACACACACACACCACACACCACAGGCACCACGCACACCACAAACCACAGATACCATACACACCACGCACATCACACACCACACACGTACCATACACACCACAGCACACCGCACACAAAACACGCACCATACACATACCACACACACGCCGCATACACACACCACACACACCACACACCACACACACCACACACCACACACACCATACAGACCGCACACATCACACACCACACCCACACACCACACACAACAAACACCATACACACCACCTCCCCCACCCCACACACATACAACACACACCACACACACACTACACCACACACCACACACACACGCACCACACACCACACACATCACACACACCACACACACACCACACACCACACACGCACCAAACACACCATACATCACACACGCCACACACACCAGACACCACACGCACCACACACGCCGCACCACACACACCACACACCACACACACCACACACACTACACACACCACACGCACACACACCACACACACCATACACACCACACACACCACACCCACCACACACCACGCACACCACTCACACCACACATGCACCAGACACATCACACCACACCACACCATACCACACACACAACACGCACCATACACATACCACACACCCCACACACACCACACACACACCACTCACACCACACACGCACACACACACACACCACGCACTCCACACACCATACCCCAGACCCACACACCCCAGTCCCACACCCCCAGACCCCTCATCCCACACCCCACACTCCAGACCCCACACCACAGACCACACCCCACAGTACACACCACACCCCACCACACGCAACACAGCACCCCCCCACCCCCTATCCTTGTTCCTTATAATTATATACCATCTACCTCGTATTCCGGCCGATAGCAACCCGATCCGGGACCTCCCATCCGGACTGTAAAAAATCAATACGAAGTGGCCGTTTTTCTTCTCAACATCGTCTTTCTTGTCGTCGACGATGCGAAAAGCGCGGCAGGAACGGGACGCGGCGCGCATCGCGCGCGGCAGTCAATCTGGGCCCGCCCATCCTGACTGTAAGCAAATAGATACAAAGTCTTCGTTTTTTCCTCTCTGCATGGCCTGCCTTGTCGCAGACGGTGCGAAATATGTGGCAGCAATGGGACGCGGCGCACATATGGGACGCGGCGCACATCGCGCGCGGCCGTCAATCCGGGCCCGCCCATCCTGATTGTAAAGAATCAATGCAAAGTCTCCGTTTTTTCCTCTAAGCATGGCCTGCCTTGTCGCCGACGGTGCGAAATATGTGGCAGGAATGGGACGCGGCGCACATCGCGCGCGGACGTCCATGCGGGCTGCGGGCCCTCCCATCCTGATTGTAAAAAACAATACAGAGTTGCCGTTTTTCCTTTCATCATGGCCTGTCTTGTCGTCGACGATGCGAAATGCGTGGCAGGAATGGGGCGCGGCGCACATCGCGCGCGGACTTCTGGGGCAACCCCAAGGCGGGAGGGGCCACCTTACTTGTCAGAAACAATGCCATGCTGATTTTCCCTGCCCACATAGCTGTTCTTGTCGTCCACCCCGCAAAAGTGCATGGCAAGAATTGGGCGCGGCACACCCCCCTCCCCCCCCGCTCGAAGTGAATGAAATGACCTTCTCGCTTGGGCGCCGAGCGAAATTTTCTCAAAATTGCGCTCCCGCTTTGGCTCGGCGCACGTTTTTAGCTCGCCAATTCATTGGGCGCCGGGGCGTTCCAGGAGGCCCTGGGGTGACGAATGCCTGGGAGGTTTTTGCTTGTTCAGGCTCTTGGAGGGCCTCCTGAGGCTCCCCGCGGTTTCTTGGCGCTACGGCCGTCTGGAGGCCATCTTGGGCGTCTTGGAACGATCTTTCGGCGACTCAGGGCTACTACTACTACTACTACTACTACTACTACTACTACTACTACTACGCTACTACTACTACTACTACTACTACTACTACTACTACTACTACTACTACTACTACTACTACTACTACTACTACTACTACTACTACTACTACTACTACTACTACTACTACTACTACTGCTACTACTACTACTGCTACTACTACTGCTACTACTACTGCTACTACTACTACTACTACTACTACTACTACTACTACTACTACTACTACTACTACTACTACTACTACTACTACTACTACTACTACTACTACTACTACTACTACTACTACTACTACTACTACTACTACTACTACTACTACTACTACTACTACTACTACTACTACTACTACTACTACTACCACTACGCGCCAGCACCCAGTTGCGCCAGCATTGTTTCTTATGTTGTGGGAGGGCGGAACGTGTCCGTTGTTCCTTTCAACATGGCCAGTCTTGTCGTCGACGATGCGAAATGCGTGGCGGGAATGGGACGCGGCGGACATCCCGCGCGGACGTCAATGCGGTGTCCTGGGGTATCCTCCACTCGCTCTGAAATGCCCGCGCAGCCCCCAGTTGTGCCATCACTGTTTCTTATGTTGTGGGAGGGCGGGTGGGAATGGGCATGCCATGCTTGACTCGCTCGAGCTGGCTAGCTTGACCACACCACACCCCACACCCCACAACCCACACAGCACACCACACACCACACACACACCGCACACCCCACACAGCACCCACCGTACACCACAGATCACACCCCACACGCCGCACCCCACACCCCACACCCCACACCCCACGCCCAACGCCCCAACACCCCACACCACAGCCCTCACCCGACACCCCGCACCCTGCACCCCACACCCCACACCCCACACCTGACACCTGACACCCCGCACCACACACCCCACACACCCCACACACCCCACACCCCACACCCCACACCTCACACCTCACACCCCGCACCCCGCACCCCACACCCCACACCCCACACTCCACACTCCACACCCCGCACCCCGCACCCCACACCCCACACCTCGGAGGAGCGTCTTTCTCAAACCAAGCTTGTCTTCCCAAAGCAAAGCCCGGGCAAGGGCGGCCGGGAGCTTGGTTTGGGAAGACTCAGTTGGTTCGGGGAGACCCAGGGCGCGGTCTGGGAAGACCCAGTTCGTTTGGGAAGACCCGGGGCGCAGTTTGTAAAGACTCGGATGGTTTGGGAGGACCTCGTTGGTTTCGAAGACCTTGGGTCTCGGTCTGGGACGACCCGGGGCAAGGTTTGGAAAGACCCGGTTGGTTAGGGAAGACCCAGGCGCCAGGTGGTAGGTTTGGGGAGACCCGGTTGGTTTGGGAAGACCCGGGGCATGGTTTCGGAAGACCCGGTTGGTTCGGGAAGACCCGGGGTTGGCTTGGGAAGATCTGGGCGGTAGGTTTGGGACGACCAGGTTGGTTTGAGAAGACCCGGTTGGTTGGGGAAGACCCAGGGCTTGGTTTGGGAAGACTTGGGTGGTTTGGCAAGACTCGGAGGCTCGGTTTGGGAAGCCCTGGGAGCTTGGTTTGGCAAGACCCCGTTGGTTTGGGAATGCCGGGTTGGTTTCGGAGAACCTGGCGCGTGGTTTGGGAACGCCCGGTTGACGCAAACGAGGGCGGGAACGGAGGCTAGAACGAAGGCGAGAAGGAAGGAGAGAACGGAGGCGGGAACGAAGGCGAGAGCGATGGCGAATACAACACGAAAGCAAAGGCGAGAATGAAGGCGAGAACGAGGGTGGGGACGAGGGCGGGAGCGAAGGCGAGAACGAGGGAACGAAGGCGGGAACGAAGGCGAACACGAATGCGGGAGCGAAAGCGAGAACGAAGGTGGAAACGAAGGCGAGAACGCAGGCGAGAACGAGGACGATAACGAAACGAGAACGAATGCGGCAAGGAAGGCGCGAACGAGTGCGAGAATGAAGGCGAGAACGAAATCGAGAACGAAGGCGAGAACAAAAGCGAGAACGAAGACGAGAACGAAGGCGAAACCGAAGGCGAGAACGAAGGTGGGAACGAAGGCGGAAAGAAATGCGAGAACGAAGGCGAGAGCGAAGACGAAAACGAACACGAGAGCCCAGGCGGGAACGAAGGCGGGAGCGAAGGCGAAAACGGAGTCGAGAACAAAGGCGAGAACGAGGGCGGTAAGCGAGAACGAAGGCGATAATGATGGCAAGAACGAAGGCGGGAACGAAGGCGAGAGCGAAGGCGAGAACGAACACGAGAACGAAGGCGAGAACGAAGGCGAGAACGAAGGCCAAAACGAAGGCGGGAGCGAATGCGGGAACGAGGGCTAACACACAACGAGAACAAAGCGGAAACGATGCGAGAAGGAAGACGGGCACGGGAGCGTAAACGAATGCGAGAACGAAGGCGAGAACAAAGGCGGGAACGAAGGCGGGAGCGGTGGCGAGAACACCCTGGCAATTGTGAGCCTTGAGCGCCTGCGCTGCGGTCTCTGCCGCGTCGACGCTCCTCAACTCCCGTGCGTGGCAGGCGGTTGAGAGGGCCCCCCATCAGAGCGGGAACGAGACGGGAACGAGAGCGAGAACGAAGGCGAGCACGGGAGCGGGAACGAGGGCGGAAACAACATGGGGAACAAGGGCGGGAACAAAGGCGGGAACGAAGGCGGGCGCGAGGGCTGATGCGAGGGCGGGAACGAGGGCGAAAACGATAACGGAAACGACGACGGAAACAAGAACGAGAACAAGGCCTGAAACGAAGGCGGGAACGAATGCAAAAACGGAGTCGGGAACGAAGGCGATAATAATGGCGAGAACGAAGGCGGAAACGAAGGGGAGATGGGTGCGAGAACAAATGCGAGAACGAAGGCGAGAACGAATGCGAGAACGAAGGCGGATGCGAGAACGAAGGCGAGAGCGAGGGCGCAAACGAATGCGAGAACGAAGGCGAGAACGAAGGCGGGAACGAAGGGGAGAACGAAGGCGAGAACGAAGGCGGGAACGAATGCAAAAACGGAGTCGGGAACGAAGGCGAGAAGAATGGCGAGAACGAAGGCGGGAACGAAGGGGAGATGGTTGCGAGAACAAATGCGAGAACGAAGGCGAAAACGAATGCGAGAACGAAGGCGGATGCGAGAACGAAGGCGGGCACGGGAGCGTGAATGCGAGAACGAAGGCGAGAACGATGGCGAGAACGAAGGCGATAACGAAGGCGAGAACGAAGGCGAGAACGAAGGCGGGAACGCGGGCTAACAGCACGGGAACGAAGGGGAGAACGAAGTCGGGAACGAAGGTGGGAAAGAAGGCGAGAACGAAGGCGAGAATGAAGGCGGGAACGAAGGCGAGAACGAAGGCGGGAATGAAGGCGATAACGAAGGCAGAAACTATGGTGAAACCGATAACGATACCAAAGGGGGGGCGATGTCGAGAACGATGGCGAGAACGAAAGCGAGAACGAAGGCGAGAACGAAGGGGGAAACGAAGGCGAACGCGAAGGCGAGCACGAAGGCGGGAACGAGAGCGAGACGAAGACCCGACTGGTTTAGGAGACCTGGGGACTGGTTTAGGAAAGGCTGGGAAGTGGTTTCGGAAGACCCGGTTCGTTTGAGAAGATTCGGGAGGTTGGTTTGGGAAGACCCAGTTGGTTTGGGAAGATCCGGGAGGTTGGTTTGTAAGGACCCGGTTGCTTTCGGAAGATCCGGGCGTGGATTTTGGAAGACTGGGTTGGTTTGGGAAGACTTGGGCGGTTGGTTTGGGAAGACCCGGTTGGTTTGGGAAGACCTGGGGCTTGGTTTGGGAAGACCCGGTCGTCTTGTCCCGCAACATTTGGGGGAAGACCCGTTTGGTTTGGAAAAACCCTGCCTCGCCCCGCGCCCCACACCCCACACCCTACACCCCAGACCCACGCCCCACACCTGACACCCCACACCCCACACCCCGCGCCCCACACCCCGCGCCCCACACCCCACACCTCATACTCACACCCGCACCCACACCCACAGCCACACCCGCACCCAAATCCATACCCACACCCATACCCGCACCCGCATCTGCACCCACGCCCGCACCCGCACCCGCACCCGCACCCGCACCCACACCCACACCCAAACACACCCACACCCACACCCACACCCACGCCTACACCCACACGCACACGCACACGCACACGCACACGCACATTCACACGCACGCGCACACGCACCCATACCCACTCGCACAGGCACAGGCACAGGCACAGCCTTGCCTGACCACCTTCTACGCCACAGCGGACAATAGACCAAGGCAGCATGCATGCACGCCTGCCTGGGGGTGTCGTGGGAGCTGGTTCGTGCTCGTGTGATGCCACGCGCGTCTTTGGCAACGGCCGTCGCCACCAAGGCTTGGAAGGGGCTGGTCCTCGACGTATGGGGGTTTAGAGCAGCGTGCGTTCGGGTGTGTGTCGGTATCGGGTGGCCGGGCCGTGCCTACCCACTTACCGCCCCCTCGGCCACCGCCGCCGGCAATGCTTGTGTGGCGCGCGGCCGACTCGAGTTGGTGTGCGGATGCTATGTTCCCGCTTACAGCGGGGGAACGAACGAACGAACACACAGTACACAACACACAAGACACAACACACAGCACACAGCACACAACAAACAACACACACCATACCTGATCCCAGGCTCCGGGCCCACGGGCCCCGCCCCCCTCCCCCCCAGATGGTATGGTCCCAGGATTCCTCGAGCCCCCCCCCCCAAGATGGTATGGTCCCAGAGACGACGACGACGACGACGACGACGACGACGACGACGACGACGACGACGACGACGACGACGGCGACGGCGACGGCGACGGCGACGGCGACGGCGACGGCGACGGCGACGACTACGACGACGGCGACGACGACGACGATGACGACGACCACGACGACGACGACGGCTGCGGCGGCGACGACGCCGGCGGCGGCGGCGACGACGAGGATGACGACGATGACGACGGCGACGACGACGATGACGACGACGAGGACGACGACGACGACGAGGACGACGACGACGACCTCTGAATCACCACAGCACCACACCACATCCACAGGGGGGGGGGGCACCGCAGCGCAGCACCACGCCACGCCCACCTCTGGACCACCACAGCACCGCACCACATCCACGGGGGGAGGGGGGCACCGCAGCGCAGCACCACGCCACGCCCACAGGGGGGGGCGGGGGGGACCATTGCGCGGGGGGTGGTGGTGGCCCAATGGCATCAGCATTGGGAGGGGGGGGCCAAGCCCTGGACCATACATACAACAAACAACATGACACACACACACACACACACACCACACAATACACAATGCACAACACATGATACACAACACACAATACAACACACAACACACAACACACATAACACACAACACACAACACACTGAGCACACAACACACAACACACACAGCACGCACCTACACACACACACACACCGATTCTGCGCCCAGGATGGGCCTGGCCAGGACGGTACAGGTGTATAGCTGCTGGCCTCCCACAAGGCGGACCCGAAGTACCGCCGCCTGAACGCCGCCATCGAGAGGCTCTGGCTGGGGCTGCTGCAGCACCCCGAGCTCGTGGCGCTCCTGCAGGCGGCTGGCTTCGAGCGAGAGGCATCTGCGGCCTGCGGGGCGGACGCCGTGGGCGAGCCGCCCCCGCCTGCGGCGCCTCCGCCGGCGGGGCGCGAGGTGGTGTTGCTCCACCCGGGTGGCCAGGAGCTCGGCCTCCTGTTGGCGGTGCTGGGTGCCGCAGTCGAATGGGCCGCCGCGCTCGGCTGGGAGGGCTGCTGATGTCGAGCAGCGGCGCACGAGTGACGTGGGCGGCACCGCGTGGGTTGGCGTTGTGTGGCAGGCGCCCCGACCCAGGAGTTCAAGGGAGGAAAACGTGCCGCTACCGCACGCCAATCCTTCCTCTTCCGCCGTTTTCGTTTTTTGGCTTCATGGGGGGCCCCTCGTTGACCCTTTCCTGTGTCCCTTCTCCCTCCCGTGCCCCCCCCTTCAAAACCGCATGAGCCCGAATTCCGTGCCTCTGATCCTCGACATGCCATCGCAGCTCGCAGAGAAAGACTCGGAGCAGCCAAGGTGCTGGACTCGATGATTGAGGCACGACGCAGCTGGCACCAGTCGCCACTTACATGGCACCACTGCGCCGCACCATACGGCACCAAGCAGGGCGGCACCACAGTTGGCACCACTGGCGCGGCCATGCGCGGCACCGCGCCGTTCACCCGAATCTAGTTTCGGAGCACTGGGCAGCCAGATTCGTGAGGGGCGGCACCTTTTGGCACCGTTGCCCAGCACAGCACTGCATCTGGTGCCAAATCCGATCTCGCGACGTATTGCCCCGCACCAGATGGCGTGACACCCGGCAGTCAAATTTGACATGAGAGCGGGGCATTCAGCACCACAGGACACCACATGGTGGGGCAACACATGTTACCGTTACCGCGCCTTGGGGCACACCGCAGGCCATTATCATGTGTCTCTCAGTCCAGATCTTGGCCTTCGAAGTAAACCAGAGAGAGTCCCACAGCTTTCGCTACTCAGGCAATTTCGTCGCAGCCTACACAGCACCACGCGGTCCTACATGCCATGGCACCAGGCAGCACTGGGCAACCCAATCTATCATTCGACGCTATGGCCGCCGAGCTGTACGGCACCCTGGTTCACCCGCCTATTGGCAATCGTTGAATCTTCAGTGCCGCTTGCGGCGCTCGTGTTGCTTTCAGGACATGGTAAGAAGGGAAAGGTCTACCATCTGCCCTACGGCGCATTGGCGCTGCATGCGCTTAAGCGAACGTGAAAACCTGCTCGATCTGCAAGTGCACGCAACCCTATCAGCACCACGTACTCGAAGAGCGTGTGGGTGTAGTTGTTGATCCCACTCACAGTGGCCAGAGATGGGCTCCAGACCGCAAATGCACAGCCCAAGAGGTTTCCAAGAGGCCTCAAGAGAGCTCCAAGAGGCGTCCCGAGAGAGCCCGAAGAGGCCCACATCCTTGATTTCCATTGTTTTTTCGATGCTTCTCGGTTTCTCGCGTTTCCGACCTTCCGACGCTCCAAGACGGCCGACAACGCCCCCAAGACCGCCCCCAAGACCGCCGAAGAGGCCCCCCAACAGAGCCCCAAGACGGCCCCAGGAGCCCGAAAATTGTTCGGGGGTGGACAGAACCCCCAACAGTGACACGTCGATTAGTGAATTGTCCGTTTTCGGTTCTCGAGAGGGCGCCGTGGCCGTTGTTTTCCAGACTTGCGCCCGCCAGATTTGGGCCGCAGGTCGTTTTCACTAGACCACGTTTTACTAAAGGGGGGTCTGTCCATCCCCGAATTGCCCAGGAGGAGCCTCCGACAGCCCAAGAGAGCCCCAGGGCAGGCCCAAGCCGGGCCACAGAGCGGGAGCGGGAGTCCCCACGGCGCCCCAAGACCGCCGAAGAGGCCCCCAACAGAGCTCCAAGACGGCCCCAGGGAACCCGAAAATTGCCGAGGAGGAGCCTCCGACGGCCCAAGAGAGAGAGCCCCAGGGCAGGCCCAAGCTGGGCCACAGAGCGGGAGTGGGAGGCCCCACGGCGCTCCAAGATGGCCCAGATGGCTGTGCCGGGCAGAGGAGGGGGAGGAGGAGGAGGAGGAGGAGGAGGAGGAGGAGGAGGAGGAGGAGGAGGAGGAGGAGGAGGAGGAGGAGGAGGAGGAGGAATCTGGGCCCAACACGGCCAATACACAGCCCACGAGGCCTCCAAGAGGGCCCAAAGAGAGCTCCGAGAGGCGTCCCGAGAGAGCCCAAGGAGGCCCAGATCACTGATTCGCATTGCTTTGTTCGATGTTTTTCGCTTGCTCGCGTTCTCGAGCCTCCAATGCTCGAAGACTGCCGAAGACGCCCCCAAGACCGCCCCCAAACCGCCGAAGAGGCACCCAAAAGGGCACCAAGACGGCCCGTCCCAAGGAGCTCGAAAATTACCCAGGAGGAGCCCCAGACGGCCCAAGAGAGCCCCAGGACAGGCCCAAGCTGGGCCACAGAGCGGGAGCGGGAGGCCCCAAGGCGCTCCAAGACGGCCCAGATGGCCCTGGCCTCCCCTCGTCCCTCCTTTCCTCCAGCCCCCTCCCCTTCTCTCCATTCCCTCCTCTCTCCTCTTCCTCCTCTCACCCCTCGGCTTTCGTGCTCCTCCCTCCTCTCCTGGGACGGTCCCGCCAGAGCGCCAGACAGGCCCCGCCAGAGCGAGCGGGGCATCGCCAAGTACCCTGCCGTTTCACAAACTGCTTTACCCCTCCCACCCCTCAAGGGCGGCCCCGGCAGAGCGAGAGGGGTGTTGCTATACCACTGCAGTCCCTGTTCTGTCTTGCCCCTCCCACCGCACCCGATGTAACCCCGGTAGAGCGCACGGGGTGTGGCTATACCATAAATTTCCTCAGGTTTCGTGCTCCTCCCTCCCCTCCAGGGCAAGCTCCGCCAGAGCACCAGGGAAACCCCCGCCAGAGAGAGAGAGCAGGGCATCCCTACACCATATTGTGTCACGCGATTCTTGCTCCTCCCACCCTTGCAGGGCAGACCCGCCCGAGCGAGCGGGATGTGGCTATATGATACAATTTCTCCGGTTTCGTGCCCTTCCCTCACTTCCTGAAAAGGCCTCGCCAAAGCGCCAAGAAGGTACCGCCAGAGGCCCCGTCAGAGCTCCAGGCAGCCCCATACATAGGACTTGCCAGGCAAATCATTGAGCATCCTCCGTGAGCCCGAGCCTTCTGATCTCACAATTGTGATTATCGCCAGCATGAGGTTTGGCGTCCAACACAAAAAGCTCCCCCACTCCCGTGGACGGACTCGACAACGACTGATGGCAGAGAAGGGCAGTGATGACCGGGACATCTGCGCGCGCTGAACGACCGCTGAAAACGAGAAGCCCGGAGCACAAGTAAACAGAAACAAAAACAACGCGCTTCCCTGCGAGCGCAAAGAGGCCCCCAGCCAACTCCAACATCAGGAGCCGGCGGGTGTCTGCGTGATCGGGCATTGGGAGACTGATCGTATGTGCAAAATGATTGAGTGTCGCGACGCGGCAGAGCAGCAGTGAAAGTGGAGAAACACGCAGTTCGACAAACCAAACACAAGCGGTAGCGAGATTGTGAAATACGCGGGAACGTGGCGCCCCGCGTTCTGACTACGCGTTTCTTTGCGTCGATGGATGGGCCCGACAACGCTGGAAATCGTCGTTGTGGCCACAGCGGGGCTTACAGCAACACCCGTGGCTCATCTGCGACTAGAACCCGAGCGCGCGCCCAGCGCGCGTGGTTCTAGTGTGTATATATATATATATACGTATATAAGTATGTATAGAGTCTTGCTATGGACACTGCTTCCTGCCTTGGGTAACTTTGCAATACAGTAGCGTATCGGTGATGGGTTTCTGCTTTGTTCTCTGGCGCGCCTCGCCGTTTGGGACGCGGGGTGTCGTAGAATGCTGAATCGCTTCGCTCTCCTGTTCAAACACAGTCGATGTGTGGCCCACGCGTGCTCCAGATTTCCCAACGCGGCGACAGCCATGCCGAAAGCAGTTTTCGTCGCAGTTCGAGAACATATCATTTGAGAACATACAATTTGCAATGCCGGAGGCGCCCCCGGCATGCCCAAACGTGCGTCAGGAGTGCGGAGGCCGTGCGCCTCGGCCCCCTCTGTTACGCACCGCCCCCCGCCTGCAGTGGACGATCGCGGCGGAGCGGGGCCGCGCGCACGCGACACGGGCAGTCAATCGTGCCGCTGCCTGCTGTGAGTCGGGGAGCGAGCATTGACGTAAGCATGCAGTCAGGGCGCTGAAGAGGGAACCCTTTTCGTTGGGGAGGGGCTCCGTGCCCCTCCACTGTTTCACCGTTTGCCTCCGAGTTTCCTTGGGTTTTTGATGGGAGATCGAAATTTCGGGCCTCGTCATTTAGGGTTCCCTGGGTCAACGCCCCGACTCTAAGCTTTCGGAGGTCCGCGCGAATCTCTCGGATCGGCGTTGGGCCACCCCTGGCGGCGCCCCTGACGCCGCGCCCCTGGCGCGCTCCTCTGCGCGCCAGGGGCGGAGGGCCCAGCGCCGATCCCGGACATCCGCGTGGACCTCCGAGAGTTTATGCTTATTGCATGGTTCGTTCCTTCTCCGAGGCCGCCTCCGCGCCCCTGGCGCGCTCTGCGCGCCAGGGCGGAGGGCCCAGCGCCGATCCCGGACATCCGCGTGGACCTCCGAGAGTTTATGCTTACAGTCGGGGCGCTGAAGAAGGAACCCTTCTCGTTGGGGAGGGGCTCGGTGTTCCTCGATTGCTTCACAGTTTGCCTTAGGTTTCCCTGAGGTTTCCCATGGGGAATCGAAGTTGAACTTATGAGAAAAAGGGGCCTCGTTCCTTATTTAGGGTTCCTGAGGTCAACGCCCCGACTGTATTGCATTGTTTGTTCCCTCTCCGAGGCCGCCTCCCGCTCTCCTCCCTCCGCGGCCGCCCTCCTCTTCTCCCCTTGTCGTCCGCGTGTGCCCGTGGCCCTGGCGCGGCCCGCGGGCTGCCCGAGCGCTTCGTGCGCTCGCCCTCGCCGCTGCACGTCGTCGTCGTCGTCGTTGTCGTCGTTGTCGTCGTCGTCGTCGTCGTCGTCGTTGTTTCCGCTGGCTAAGGGTGGAACGCTTTTTGAGTTGCCACGCTCTTGAAGTTGTGCCCGTCGCAAGATCGAGCATAGTGTGTTGTCATATGCGTGTGGTAAGTGTGCATGCGCTCTGCACGCACAGCACACGCAAGCACTCGCGTGTGCTTACGCCTGGTTTTAGCCATGTGTGTATCCGGTTCAAGGTGTCTTGGCCTCGGCCGATAGTGGTTTGCGCCACCTGGGCTTCCAACTTTTCCCAGAGCTGGGGCCCTTACGTATACGCTGAGCCGCGATACTGCGTAGCCGCGGCCTCCCAATCAGCGCACCCTCCCCGCCTTGGGCCATTTTGAAGGGAGGTGGTGGGGTGCTCCTCTGCAAACTCAGCCAGATGTTCATTCGCATCTCCTTGCTGTTGGCAAACATACTTCCGAGGCAGCGATGGGCCGACTTCAGGGACATGCATGCGTATTCTTCACGCTTCGCATATCCCCACCAGCCCATCCAGAAACGATGCCCAGAACATCTGTCAGGATAGAAGGAAGTGCATACTACATTGACGCAAAGAAGCCAACTAGGATGACCTTGCTAGGGAGCATGCAGGGTCAGCAGACCTGCGGCGGTCCCTACGAATCTGGGCATTTACTTCCGGGGGCTTGTGTCGCGCAGGGTGCGCCTGACGATCACATCGTTGTGATGACATGGTTCTAGAATCGAGCCAGATGCTAATATCGTGCCCTTCTGCTCGCTCCCTCCATCGCTCCTCACCTGCCTCGCTTCTCCTTGCTCTTTCTGCTTTGGGCGTGCCTTCGCGCGGTGCCTGCGGCAGTTACCCCAGCAGGTTTACGATGCCATCTTCTCGGCGGTTGCTCCACCGGTGATCCGTGTGGGCAATGTCTTGACTGGACAAGGGACAAGGAATGCTAATCTTATTCGCGGCAGGGAAAGCTGTTTGCGTGAATCGGCGCCGTCTCGATGATCTGGCCAGTGGGTTGTTCGTTGGGCTGCAACACAGACCACGGCCCCCTCGGCATATACTTGTTCGTTGATCTTGATTTACTTTCCTTCGTCTGCCCCCTGGAGCTCGGGGATTGTTTTTCCCAACCATCCTGTGGTGCTGGGTCCTCGTTTTGAAGAGACTGCGCTCCGCGTCCTCCCTCCTCCTCCTCCTCCTCCTCCTCCTCCTCCTCCTCCCCTCCTCCCTCCTCCTCCCTCCTCCCCCTCCTCCCTGCGTTTCACCCACCCTGTACAGCGTTTCGTGGCCCCATAGGGAGCCCCACAAAAGGTCCCAGTGCTGCCAGCCGCATGCGTCCCGCACACCCAGCACAGCGTTTCGTGGCCCTTCTCCCCTTGCTCCCTGCGTTTCACCCACCCAATGCAGTGTTTCGTGGCCCTATATGGAGCCCCACCGAAGGTCCCAGTGCTGCCGGCCGCATGCGTCCCGCACACCCAGTACAGCGTTTCGTGGCCCTCCCTGCTGCTTGCGTTTCGCCCATCCAGTACAGCGTTTCGTGGCCTCATAGGGAGCCCCACAGAAGGTCCCAGTGCTGCCGGCCGCATGCGTCCCGCACACCCAGTACAGCGTTTCGTGGCCCTCTTCCTCCATTTCCTTGCGTTTCACCCACCCAGTACAGTGTTTCGTGGCTCCATAGGGAATTCCACCGAAGGCCCCAGTGCCGCCGTCCGCATGCGTCCCGAAAACACAATGTGGCTTTTTTACCCACCCAGTACAGCGTTTCGTGGCCCCATAGGGAGCCCCACCGACGGCCCCAGCGGGACTGTCCGCAAGCGTTCCGAAACACCCACATTTTCACTCACCCCGTGCAGCGCTTCGTGGCCCTAAAGGGAGCTCCGCCGAAGGCTTCAGTGCCACCGTCCGCATGCGTCCCGAAAGCCCAATGAGGCATTTCCACTCGCCGAGTACAGCGTTTCGTGGCTCCATAGGGAGCTCCACCGAAGCGCCCAGTGGGACCGTCCGCGTGCGTCCTGGAAACTTAATTTTTGCATTTCCTCCCACCCAGTAAAGCGTTTCGTGGCCCCATGGGGAGCTCCACCGAAGGCCCCAGTGCCACCGTCCGCATGCGTCCCCGAAACCCAATGTGGCATTTTCACACCCCCATTACAGCGATTCGTGGCCTCATAGGAAACTCCACCGAAACGTACAGTGGGACCGTCCGCATGCGTCCCGGAAGCCCACTTTGGCGCACCAGCCATTCAGTACAGCGTTCCCCCCACCCAGTGCAGCGCTTCTTTGCCCCATAGGGAGTTTCATGGTTGGGTCCTTCGCCAGGGTAGTTTCCCAACCATCCTGTGGTGTTGGGTCCTCGTTTTGAAGAGACAGCGCCCCGCGTCCTCCCTCCTCCTCGTCCTCCCCTCCTCCCTCCTCCTCCCTCCTCCCCCTGCTCCCTGCGTTTCACATACTCAGTACAGCGTTCCGTGGCCCCAAGGGAGCCCCACCGAAGGTCCCAGTGCTGCCGGCCGCATGCGTCCCGCACACCCAGTACAGCGTTTCGTGGCCCTCCTCCCTCTTTCCCCTGCGTTTCACCCACCCAGTACAGCGTTCCGTGGCCCCATGGGGAGCCCCACCGAAGGTCCCAGTGCTGCCGTCCGCATGCGTCCCGCGCACCCAGTACAGCGTTTCGTGGCCCTCCTCCCTCTTTTCCTCGCGTTTCCCCCACACAATATAGTGTTTCGTGGCTCCATAAAAATGGGGCCCCACCGAAGGTCCCAGTGCTGCCGGCCGCATGCGTCCCGCACACCCAGTACAGCGTTTCGTGGCCCTCTTCCTTCCATTTCCTTGCGTTTCCGCCACCCAATGTAGGTATCGTGGCCCCATAGGGAGCCCCGCCAAAGGTCCCAGTGCCGCCGTCCGCATGCGTCCCGCACACCCAGTACAGCGTTTCGTGGCCCCATAGTGAGCCCCACAAAAGGTCCCAGTGTTGCCAGCCGCATGCGTCCCGCACACCCAGCACAGCGTTTCGTGGCCCTTCTCCCCTTGCTCCCTGCGTTTCACCCACCCAGTACATCATTTCGTGGCCCCAAAGGAGCCCCACCGAAGGTCCCAGTGCTGCCGCCCGTATGCGTCCCGCACACCCAGCACAGCGTTTCGTGGTCCTCCTCCCCTTCCCTTTGCGTTTCACCCACCCAGTACAGCGTTTCGTGGCCCCATAGGGAGCCCCACCGAAGGTCCCAGTGCTGCCGCCCGCATGCGTCCTGCACACCCTGTACGGCGTTTCGTGGCCCCACAGGAAGCTCCATCGAAACCACCACTGGGACCGCCCGCATGCGTCCCGACACACCTAATTTGGCATTTTCGCTCACCCAGTACAGCATCTCGTGGCCCCATAGGGAACTCCACCGAAGGCCCCAGTGCCGCCGTCCGCATGCGTCCCGAAAGCACAATGTGACCTTTTTACCCACCCAGTACAATGTTTCGTGGCTCCATAGGGAGCCCCACCGACGGCCCCAGTGGGACTGTCCGCATGCGTCCCGAAAACCCAATGAGGTATTTTCACCCGCCCAGTACAGCGTTTCGTGGCTCTATAGGGAGCTCCACCGAAGGCTTCAGTGCCACCGTCCGCATGCGTCCCGAAAACCCAATGTGGCATTTTCAACCGCCCGGTAAAGCGTTTCGTGGCTCCATAGGGAGCTCCACCGAAGCGCCCAGTGGGACCGTCCGCGTGCGTCCCGGAAACTTAATTTTTGCATTTCCTCCCACCCAGTAAAGCGTTTCGTGGCCCCATAGGGAGCTCCACCGAAGACCCCAGTGCCACCGGGGATGGGGGGGAGTACAACAAGGACAACGATAAGACGGTGGGGGGTTGGGATTGGGATGGGAAAGTCGGAAGGGAAGATACGGAGGAGGGATTATCGTGGTGGTAGGAGGAGTGGGACGACGACGATGATGATGCCAGGGCTGGCGATGGTGAAGACGATGATGCTCGTAATGACGGTGACGGTGGTTTTGATGAATCAGGGGAACATGAGGTAAGACAATGGCGAAGTTGAGGAGGCGGAGGACGACATTGATGACAAGGAGAGGACGATGGGGAAGACGAGGAGGAACCTCCCCTCCCCCATCTCCCTCTCCTTCTTGGCCATCCTCCCCCTCCTACCACTCCTCTTCCTCCCCCCTCTTTCGTTCCACCCCTCTCCCCCCTGAAACGGAGGCAGCCGAGCAGGCGGCGCAGGAGGGCGACCAGGAAAGCGACGTCCCCCTGGAGGAGGACGCCATTCTGCAGCCACGGAGGGACACAGTCGGCAAACCAAACAAGAAATCGACCTGCGAGCAGGTGCCCCACATGATTTTCTTATCCCTCGATGCCCCCAGGGACCCACATAAGCTCTGGGGCACCTTGGGACCCTCAAATATTGAAGACACGCGTTCCTTTAGATTTCTTATCCCAATATTCTTATCGTGTTTGCCGACTGTGATGAGGGGTCGCGCCGCGTTGACGCGGCGGCGACCCCAGCGCGGGCCTGCAAGGGTGAACCGCCACTTGCCTGAAATCGGCCGATGTTTAACGATCTACGCTGTCGGAAGGCCCATCAACCGTTCAAGGCTGAGCCGTTCGAGCGGTTTCGCAGGACAACGCAGAAGTCTTCGCGACGTCAACCTGCCCTTCTGGAGTGTCACGGTATCCGGGCGTCGCGAACAGACGCACACTTCGGGCCCCAGG